GGTACCTCTCAAACAAAAAAAATAAAAACTAAAAAATACACAAGATGTTCTTTAAACTTCAAACCAGACACCAATTAAATAGAGAGATTCTTTGATAGAAGAAAGCATAAAGAAGTACTACTGAACATATCACAGAATTGTGAAGACTGGAGAGAACCCCTGTAGAAATAGAACTAACCGGTTGCAAGTAGAAGAATGATGCTGATATCTGACGGATTGATGCAGTTTAATTCAGTTTCATTACATCATCATCATTTAAGGACAAAACAAAATAAAGGGATTGGAGATCTGAGTGGTTGCCGGTGGGTTGACTAGGGCCGAGACTCGAGAGGCTTCTTGGGAGAGAAAAACTTGGATGCAAAGTACCAAAACACAGCAACCCTAATTATTCCAGTAAGCATCTGCCCAACACCCTGCTCACTGCTTCTTGGGAGAGAAATTAGGGGCTTTGTATGCAGATGGCTTGAATCTCGCGCCTTCGTCGCTCCGGCAGAATACTTGGAGTAGCAAAACACTTTTTGACGAATAAAACCTAAATTAACCACAAATAACTCAAATCTAACGTTGATGGAGGTCGTGGAAATGGATTTGGGAGTAAAATCTAGTGAAACCCACAAATTGTTTGACTCGTTTGGCTTGAGATTGGAGATGTGGGGGAAGAACCGAAGAATCGGTGGTGGTGGAGAAAAAACTGATGAGTTTGGATAATTCAGGTGAAAAATGAAATGCGCGATGATCGTCAACCAACCAAATAATTAGTTCGGTTTTGACCGCATAACAACTGGAAAACCAATTTAGTTTAACCCGAAAACCCAAAATTAAGTTCGGGTTGGTCGGGTCTCGGGTCAACCGACCCAATAAACAGGCCTAGAGTAGAATGTGTCGATTGCATCCACTCTCAAACTTGTAATAAAAGTTCAAACTTTTAAACGATAGGAGAAACAAAAACCAGAAATAATGAAAGTTTTGGATTTGTGAAAGTCAGGCCGGAAGACAGACACGCAGGTTTTTGCCAATTCGACCAATTAAGAATATATAATATGGAAAAGGCATTAGCTTTTTATTCCTAGTTGCGACCAATTCCGTAAATATTTATTGTCAACCATATTTTTTGTGCTTTACTCAAGCACATACAAAGGGATGTCAATCACTTCCAAATTTATTAGAGAAACACTTCTAATTATTTAGTTGCATCAGTCATTTAAAAATTAGAAAGGTCCCTCTACTCATGCTACACGATTCATAGTTGTAGTTTACTTTCCTTGGCATTATTAATTCATTCAATAGTTTTGGATTAGTTCATTAAAGTTTTGATCAACATGTGAATTCGGTAAGATGTGTACAATTACTAGCTACTTAATAAATTAGCTTAAAATACCCATTTTGGTCCTGTAATGTCCTGTTTTTTTATTAAGTTTTAAACCAAGTCCGGTCCATTACCTCGTAACCGGAGAAGTTTCAATTGAAACAATATCCCAGGAATTAATAATTAAGTTTTCCATGATGAAATTTCAGAATTGACGCTGTAAAATTTGATTTCAGAATAGTTTTCGAAGTGTTTACCATGAACGAGGGGATTAGTCATTATTGCAGACGGTGGACACCTTGCAATATGTAAAAAAAGAAAAAAAAAAGTGGAATAATGAATTTAAATAATTTAAGTGAAATATCGATGATGAACAGAATGTCAATTGTGGACCGCGTCACCAGGTTTAAGATTAGCACGTGAGAAATATTGAAGGGAATTTAGGATCAGAATAGAAGGAACAAAAAAGATTGGGACTTCGTCGTAGTTTAGAGTTCAGAGCGTGACAAAGAGAAAAGCAAATTGCAGAATAAAAAATCTGATTTTCAATTTCTAATCAAAAGCATAGGTTTTACATACGCTGACCAGAATTATATAGTTGAGTTACGAATATTGCACTTCAGTCCTTAAGCCTTTAATCTATATATAAGCTAATATAAAAGTTACGCTTAGTCAATAAATTTCTTACTATCTGATTGGTCGGGCGGTCGTCACGTGAATGACAATTACATTATATTTTTAATTGAGGGTGAAACTATCATTCATTAATTATACGTTCAACCAATAATAATACGCTAATATAAAACCTACGCTTGGTCAATAAATTTCTTGCGATCTGATTGGTCGAGTAGTCCTCACATGACATCAGCCTTGTACGACGATTACATTATCTTTTTAATTGAGGGCGAAATTGTTATCCATTAATGAGACGTTCAACCAAAAATTAATTTCCTGCCATAATCCCCCAATCGTTAAAACGCTGTCGCTTTGAACGGCCCGCCCTACAAAACGACGTCGTTTTGAACTGCCCTTTCCATATAAAAGAAAACCCGAATGTTCTCTTTGATATCTTCCGCATCAGGGCTATTTTCAATCACCACCACGGACAAGCACCGCCACTTCCACCGCCTCCTCCACGATATTCATGGTCAACGAATTCAGTGTCGTATTCTCCTCCTTGATATCAACCGGAACCACCTTGTGAGTTTACCTTTTCGTAATTGTTTTAGGAGTAATAATAAACCTAAAAATTATTCCTTAATTCTCTTGCAATAGGAATTGAATCAACAAATTACATGGTGCCATGAAGGCTATGATCCTCTCGATGAAGATTATAATGATTAGAGCAGTTGTTTTGTTGATCCTACGTGCTCTCATCGCCACAGTATTAGAACCTACTACGGGATTTTCGGCACTTAACAGGATCTATTACAAATCTGCTCAAGAGGCGATGGCTATTAATTTTGATTTTGTTTCAGTTTCGTTGTGTTTTACAACAAGGATCCTACATGACTGAGATCAAAGGATTGAATATTTTTTTCTCGATTGTTTTATTCTTATAGTTTCTGTTCAGAGCTATGGCTGCCGCTTGTCATCTCCATGACTCTGTCGCCCGATGGTTGTATCTTTTAATCGGCTTCTTTTCTTTCAGGGAAGAATTTGCTGTTGTTTTCTTGGTGTTCTGATCAATTAAGGTGTACTTTTCATCTTTTTTAGTTTAATTTATGTTGGTATAATCATATCAAAATGTTTTCTTCTCTATTCTTTTGAAAATCTTTTCGGCTATGACTGATCCGAATTGAGTTCAGCCGATGCAGGTGATGGAGCCTCCATGACATCCCGATTGTGGCAAAACAGGGCTAGGTTTTGAAATTAAATTATTCATCTTTCTTTGCTTTTCTTTACCCACGTTTTCTCAAATTTATTTTCTCTAATTTTGGCTTGTTTTTTTTTTAAAAATTTTGTTTTGGCTAATGTTCAGGAACTGTATGAATTAGAAAATCGAGAGAGCGAGGATCTAACTAAGTTTAGACTTGCAGAACCTAGATGAATAATTTCCTTTGGTATTGCATGATGATTTGTTATTACAAACATGTAATCCATATCCCCTGTATTTTTATTTTTTTTTCAAAAAAGTGGTATTCCCTGTATTTGTTTGAAAATAAAATAAGATTTCAGAAGTTGAAGAAAGAACAATCAAGCACTCATGGGTTCAATATTTGTCACTGCGTTCAAGAAAAGATAGGAGTGAAGTAGCACCGCTGATTTTTGTTGCAGCTTAAGTGTTTCTCTCTGTTTGAAGGTATGAATTCTTTTTTACCTGATTCTATTGTGCTGAAGATTAACATTGATCTCTATTAACTATTCTTTTGTATGCATAGGCTTGGTTGGGATTATGGAAAAACATTCAGCGTTCCAAATCACCTCCTCAACTGCGGGGTCTCATGGAGCTTCCGTTTTGGTCCTCTTCCTTTCCCTTGTAGGTGGTTTTGCAGAATCGTCGATTATTTACTCAATCGAGATGGATTGCTCAAGTTTTGTGAAGCTTACTGATTCATCGTCCTCATGGATCGCTCAACAACCTTTCAATCGAAGCCCTGGATCTGCCGCCGTTTTGCTCCCTTCCCATGTTTCCTTTGTTAAGACTTCCACCTCCGGATCCTACTCCAACAAGGAAGTTAAACCCGCTGTATGATCTCTTCTTTTTTTCCCCTTCAATTTCGTAAATTCCTGCTTTCCGGTGTCACTTGCTCCTTGAAAGTTTGTGGTCTAATATGTGTAGGTTTTCAATTTTGCTAATGATTTTCAATTTAAAAGTCATTTGTAAATTACGTTGCTTTTAATCCTTGAGTTGGACCAGACAAGTTCAGTAGAGAGTGTTATTGTTATGTCTATAGCAATTGAAGGAATTCATCTTAAGGGTATTTTGGCTGCATAAGTTTTGTATATGCTCATTAATAGTAGTTTTCTGGTTCATGTTTTGGATATGTTTTTATGAGTTTTGGTTTTCAAATTTGCAAATTTTTCCAGTGAATACCCAAAGGAAAAGGACAGTGTTTTAAAGAGATAACTATTGTGATGAAGTTGAAAGAGATCCAAAACATAAACATGGTGAATTTGGTGTAAACTGTAGCTTTATTAATGGTTTTGTACACTTCAGGGTCTACATGGGCTGGAAGGAAGAATGAGAACAAGGTTACCATGTTGCTCAAATTTTTACTGTAATTCACTCGCTGGTTTCAAAAACTAGCCGATGGATAATCTTCAAGAGGTTTAATTATATGTTACCTTTTCCCTTTTTTCTTATGTTTTTCCCTATTCTATGTAATGACAAGTACGTTTATTTCTACAATTTTTTACCATTCTTATGGTATTTTTAGACGTCTCTTCATGATAAAGGGCTTTCTCTAGACCTACTGAACGTGTTGTTGTTGTATTGCGATAATGTTTTCGTAGGTTGGCATGTCCAAGCATTTTTAATGATTTTTATATCTACAATAAGCAAATTTACCTGCCAGGTTTGAGAATATTTGGGCAAATTATCTGGTACACTTGGGGGTACCGTGTACAATAGCGTTAGTCCGCCATTATAATTCAGCTTTCTTTTTCTTTTTTTTTTTAAACGCGGGGTTATATAAATAACCAAATTCATTCAAATTTGGTAAACTTTGTGATAGAGTATTATTGATGGGCGATGGCCGGCAGCGATCGAGGCGTTGAGGCGGCAATGGGAGTCGGTGATCGAGGCGTTGAGGTGGACACGGCCGGCGGCGATCGAGTTGTTGAGACGGCGACGGCGTTCAGCGATCGAGGAAAGGCTCCGATTCCACCAGAGTGGTGAAACGGTGATTGGATCGACGATATGCTGAGTTCAGATCGAGTGTTGAGTTATGTGCTTGATGATTCTGGATTGATGAATGCGGAATGTAGTGGTAGAAAATCCATCGAACAATCTTACTGTGCCAGCAAATCAACGCAAGGTCACAGTTCTGTTGTAGATCAGCTGGAATCAGGTTTGTGTAGGTTTCGGAGTGTACTGTAATCAATCAAGTTTTTTCACAGTTCTGTTTTTGTTAATGTTGTATGAAGTGGATAAGCAGTTATGCTGTGTTGGATATCCAAAATGTTTGTACTGGATATCCACTTTGTTTGTGCTGGATATCCAGCTTATGTGTACTGGTTATCCAACTGATTTACATGCGTATCCAAATTTTATTTGCTGGATATCCAATTGATTTGTACTGGATATCCAACATTTTTGAGTTGTTTATATTGAATTGGTGTTTTTTTAAAGTTCGGAGTGTACTGTTTGTGAGAGAATAATCAATCTAGTTTCTTCACAGTTCTGTTTTTGTTAATGTTGTATGAAGTGGATAAGCAGTTATGCTGTGTTGGATATCCAAAATGTTTGCACTGGATATCCACTTTGTTTGTACTGGATATCCAGCTTATGTGTACTTGTTATCCAACTGATTTACATGTGTATCTAAATTTTATTTGCTAGATATCCAATTGATTTGTACTAGATATCCAACATTTTTTAGTTGTTTATATATAATTGGTGTATCAAAGATTTTTTTAAAAAAATTTTTTGTTTTTCTGTTTGTCTCATTTTTTGTAAAAGATAGCCATATCAATGAGTTGGGGGATGATGTGATGCTGGATGATGCTTTGCGCATGGAAGTTACATCTGCTCTGAAGGGTAGGTTTTCTAACTTGTTTATGTGTTTAAATTTTTTTTGATTTGTTTATCCATTGTGTTAATACTGATTATCCGACTTCATGGTAATGGTTATCCAACCATCTCTTTTGTTTTTCTCAGAATGTGGAGAAGATGATAGCGGCAATGAATTGGGAGTTATCAATGAATTGGGAGTTGATAATGTGATGGTGGAGGAGGATGCCTTACACAAGGAAATTTCATCTGTGACGAAGAATAATGATTTGGCTATTTTTACTTTAGTTGGCAAGACTGCAAGAAGTGAGAAAGAAGCTTATGATTTGTATAATGATCATGCCCGATTGATTGGTTTTAGTGTGAGAGTGGGAAAACAGAAGTTTAGAGATAAGACTGATAAAGTTAGGATGAAGAAATTCTGTTGTAACCATGAAGGATACAAGAGATCCGGTGGAAATGGTGATGTGTGCCATGAGTGGATTAATTTTCGGTGTGGGTGTCCAGCTTAGTTCCATTTTACTGTTGACAAAGATGGCTTTTGGACCTGTACAAAGCATCTGGTTGATCACAATCATAATCTTGTGCCGAATGAAATGATTGGACTTCTTCGATCTCAACGTGAAGTAGATGAAAATGATATGAAGATAATCAGAGACATGACAAGGAGTGGCATCCCTTTGGTTGATGCATATAAGTTCGTGGCAAAATTACACGGGGGAAGTCCGAACATGAAGTATACTTTGAGAGATGCCTACAATTATGAGCGTCCTGGTGTTAGATTTGAAGGTGGCGATTGTAATCAGCTCATGAAGATTTTTTGGGATAGGAAGGAAACTAAAGAAGATTTCTTCTTTGATTTTGACTGTGATGAGCAGGGTAGGCTGTGTATTTTCTTCTGGAGGGATGGCAAAATGCGAAAGGATTATGATTTGTTTGGTGACTTACTTGTGTTTGATACAACGTATCGAACAAACATATATGGAATGATCTGTGCTCCGTTTGTGAGTATGGATAATCATAACAAGAATGTCATGTTTGGTTGTGGTTTTGTGTTAAACGAGAAAGAACCCTCTTTTGATTGGTTGTTCAAGCAATTTTTGAAATCAATGGGAGATAAGCAGTCACAAACCATAATGACAGATCAAGCACCTTCCATTGCTGCAAGTATTCGGACATGTTTTCCAAGTTCTCGGCATCGTCTCTGTGTATGGCACATAGGTGAAAATTCAAGAAAGCGAATTGGTCATTTAAGGAACAAGCCAGATTTTGTTAAGAACTTTAATTATCTGATGAAATACACTTCAACAGAAATCGAGTTTGAGGTATTATGGAGGAGGTCAGTTTGTCGATATTTTTATTATTATTTTGATCATTTCATGATTAAGAGTGTCTCTTATTTTTTTTGTTGTGTGGGTATGTGTTAGTGGTCATGCATGATCTTCCTGATGATTACTTATAGGTAGGTAAGTTATACAACAATGATGGATAACCAGCAAAATAATGTATGGACAAGCAGCCGCATAGAAGCACAACTAAAAAAGGGCATGGATAACTAGTTTACCGATTGTGGATAACCACCCATTATGGCCGGATAACTAGTTTACAGATTCTGGATAACCAGCAATTATGGCTGGATAACTAGTTTACACATTCTGGATAACCACCGGTTATGGCTGGATAACTAGTCTACACATTGTGGATAACCAGCAATTATCTCTGGATAACCACCTGTTATGGCTGGATAACTAGTAGAAAGCCTTTGTTGGCTGGATAACTATATGGATAATCTAACTATTTTTCTTTTTATGCATGTGTTTTATATTGTTGTGCACAGATTATTGGATGAGTATGATTGTCATGATGACAAATGGCTCAATGGTATTTATGATGTGAGGCATATATGGTGCCCTGCATTTAGCAAAGATCTTTTTTCTGGTGGTACCTTGTCTTCACAGAGGAGCAAGTCAAAAAATAATGCAATTTGTCGTAAAATGAAGGCCACATCATCGCTTTGTGATTTCCATGGAATTTTCTCTGATGTTGTACACTGTTGGCGGGTAGCTGTGAGGGGTGAAATCTACGCTGTAGCCAGGGAAACATCGATTCATATCTTCTTGGTGACCCTTTCCTGGAGAGCATTCGCAGAGTGTACACAGTTGAAGCATTTCGGGAGGTTCAGCAGTTGCACAAAGATGGGATGTTGTGCAGCCAGGAGCAGTTAGAGGTCTCAAATGATGGCAATATTGTGACGTACAATGTTTGGTGGTTTGGGATAGAGTGCTTTAAGCATGTGGTTGTACATGACACTAGGTTACAGAGATTGTCATGCACGTGCAGGTACTACTCTGAGGCGGGCATGCTTTGTTGCCACATTCTTCGAATCTGTCATGTAACCTCTGTTGATGAGTTTCCTAAAGATTATATATGTATGAGATGGACAAAAAGTTATGGTGCTAGGTCAAGCATTGCTAATGAGGGAGATGGAAAAGCTGCTGGGCCATTGCTGTGGAAGGCACTAATTATGAGACGATTTTCAGACTTGGTGTATTCAAGTGAATATAGCAAAGATGCAAAGAAATGTTGTGACGAGCCGGTTGACAGGCTTAAAGAAGAACTCGGCAGTTTCATTGGTTCAAATAATAATGATGAGTCTGTAGACAATGATGGTGTTATAAAGAATCCGGCTGTAAAGAGGAAGAAGTTTGGTCCCAGGAATGAACGTCCTAAAAGCATTGTTGAGAAGGCATGTAACAAAGTCAGAGGCAGAAAAACACATGCAAGAATTGCTGCTGACCGAACAAGAGCTTCAGTTGCATCAGACCTGCATTATCAAAGCATGCCATTTCCTTATCCAAAGGGAGCTGCTCAAGATTATTCAGGCTCAGGAAGTTTTGCTGCTGTGAATGCTTCCCATCAAAGCATGCCATCTTTGAACGTAAATTCTGGTGGATTCTCATTTGCTAATCCAAGTGTAGCTGACCAGGATTTTTCATGGGCAGGGGCTTCCACTTCTGTGAATGCTTCTGATTAAAGCATGCCATTCTCATTTCCAATTCCCAAGGGAGCTGGCCAAGAGTTTCATGGCGCAAGCACTTCCGCTGCTGTGAATGCTTCTCATCAAAACATGACATTCATGAATCAAAACTTTGGTGGGTTCTCATTTCCTAACCAAAGGGAAGCTGCCAGGGAGGATGGAGCGCAGCGTTTCTTCAATAAGATGTTTTATTAGTATTTTTACTTGATGTTGAAATGAATAGTATTGATGGTGTAAAGATTTTTATTTAAAAAGTATTATTTATTTTAAATTGCAGTATTATCAAAGCAGTTTGAACTGGTCATCCATTTTGTTTGTACTGGTTATCCAAGTGGTTATTTTAAATTGGTTATCCGTTGTGTTCATGTTGATTATCCAACCAGTTTGAACTGGTTATCCAAGTTGTTTGTAATGGATATCCACCGTTTTGGTTTGTATGCCTATCGAACTTGTTTCTACTGGATATACATTTTGTTTGTACTGGATATCCAACTAGTCTATACTGGATATCCAACTCGCCTGTACCGGATATGCAACTTTAAATGCATATAGATATTACAAAAAAGACATGAACACGTTGAACACGCTTTCTTCACAAATAATATCATTGGATAACCAGCATAGATAATCTGGATAATTAGTACAAAGTCCTGGGATAACCAGTAATAAGTGAACAAGGGAAATATATATTTAAAAAAAAAATCCTAAAAGTTTGTCAACGTCTCCCAGAAGTAACATGTTCTAATGATGAAACTGGTTTCTAGATTCGGCGATGTACTTGAGTGTGTGATTTTCCTGGTAGGAACACTATACAACAGCAAATGTCGATTATCGTATCCTTTGATAATAAACTGTCCCGCTGGAGACGATTTGTGGCTTAGAAACATTGGATAAAGCCAATCATGACGGAAATGTAATCCGTGTGGAACGTGTGTGTTCACATTTGGGAATTCATGGGTCTCAAATATGCAATCCCATGTGGAAGTATCTGGATCCCATGCCCACATCTCACAGTGATGATTCTGAGTAATGTGGTACTCATTTATTACACACATAGTCCCCTGGAAGCCCAATATTTTCACTTGGAGATTCATATGAGAAGGATAAGTGGGGTTAAAGAAGATTGGAGATGGAGGGCAGTTTATGATTTGGAATTATTGAGTGTGGTAGTCAAACATGACCAGCAACTCTTGAGGTGTTGATATTTCAGAAGATAGTTTGTCTACACGCCAGTACATGAATCTATCAAACCAGGTTCCATCAGATACAAGGCGAGGACATACATTGCAAAGTGTTTTCCATTCCCCTCTATGAATACTTGAACAACTTTGAAAGAAAAAATGCAGCCTTGCATGTTTTTTCCATCGGCAATAAGGGCCATGAAAACGTAAGTTTTTGAGGATGATACGTACCCAAATGCTGTTTCACAATTGCTGAGAGGGACATCATGTGGCCATTCAACTGATGCAAGTTGTGTTATCTTTGGGTTCAAGAATTTGATTTGAGAGCTGGTTTGCAGACAGACCAAATCTGTGGTGATAGACATGATTTTATGGATGCCGTCATCACCCATCGACATCTCTTCTTGCAATCGTATGTGGTTGCATGGGTTATCCATTTGCACTTTTATGTTGGTGGCAATTAGTTTGTCTTGCAACAGGTGACCTTCTTGGCTTGTTTGAGTGAAAACAAGGATGTTGTTTTCACTGGCAGGGTAGCTCATCTCACGTTTTTTAAGAACAAATTCTTGTCTTTTCGTCATTTGCTCCCAAGCTTTGCTGACACGGCGGAACTCACCAATCTTTTCCAATGACAGATTAATGAACATATTATCAAGCATATCGTGATGGATATATTCATGGTAGCTGGGGGACATTTGTTTGGTTGTGGAATTTGAGGAAATTTTTTCATTTTTCACTTTTTTCTGGCCGTTGGATGTTTTGGATGCTCAAATAAGGTGTTCTGGTGTATGGTGCAGATGAGGGAGTTTTATAGAAATGCTCTATGTGTAGATGTCAGGGAGTTCTATGGAAATACTGTATGTGGAGATGAGGTAGTTTATATAGAGGTAGTTTGACGGATTAACTACCCATGCAGTCCTATCTTTTTTCACAAATCAGTGTCTTCTCACTCTCTATTCATTAACCGTCATTGTTATAATCAAGAAACTCATTTAATGACAGTTATGTAACTGATCCTCCTTATTCAATCCATTGCATGTAAAAACGTGTGGCTCTGTAACTACCCATTAGATTATGGTGGATGTACTCTGCACAAACATGAGCCTTTTCAGTTTTCTTTTTTTATTATTACTCCCTCAATCTTTTAATCACAGTAACATGCTCCATACTATGGATAACCAGTATGGACATAGTGGATAACCAGTGTTCCCACCATGGATAACCAGTTAAACACAGCTGGATAACCAGTGTTGACACTATGGACAAGCATTTTTCATAAATAATAAAAACAAAGTGAATTTTATACCCATAAAAAGGGAGAGAGCAGGTGAATGGTTGAATGGTACAATATAAAAAGAAAACCCTTTTCCTTTCTCTCTATCCCACACACTCAATTATGATTGAATGACATTTTCGGGCGGACACTAAGGGACAATTATGATTGCCCGGCCGCCGTTTGGAAAACATGCACAGTAATGGGGCAGGTTTGCTAGAATTTGGGCGGGATTCTAAAGCGGGTCGCGTTCTCGGGTCGGGTTTGGCCCGCGAGTCAAGTCAGACGGCCTGCCCCTCATTCTTTTTTTTGTTCTCCATCATTTGGCAAACTTCCCCTCATTCAATTAAATACTGTTTATGAAATTTGCCATGTTCGGCATGGGGGCGGCACAGCCGCGAAAGGCGGCGCAGCCGGGTCGTTTAGTTTATCACGGGGGGAATTTATACAAGTAATTTGTGTCCCCTCTTAACGCAATAACACACTCTCCTTACACACACACGTAAAAAGGATTACCTTATCTACATTGGCATGTTCGGCGGGGCGGCGCAGCCGGGGCAGGTTGGTGACCTGCGATTCCGGTAGCCGCGGGAGTCGTTTAGTTTAGCATGGGGGGCGAAGCCCCCCAATGAATATGTCGTTTGGATAGCCATTTTCTTATGGATATTTTCTTTTGTTATGTCTTTTTGGAAGCCCTCTCTGAATCATTGTTTTGTTATGTCCACATGGTGGATATGTATTGGTTACATATGGATAAGCAGTATTGAGGTTTTGGATCAAAAGTATAAACTCATGGATAATCATGTTAAAGACTGTACTTGCATTTTTTTTGACTGGATAATCACTATAAAACATTCGGATAATCAGTTGTAACAAGTTGGATAACTGGTACAAAGATCTTGGATGACCATTACAAACGGTTGGATATTGCTGCACATTGGCTGGATAACTAGTACAAAAGTCCTGGATAATCAATTCAGAGCATTGGATAATCAGCAAAGAAATATTGGATAAGCAGGATAACATCATAGGATAAGTAGTTTAATAAAGAAGTAGAAAGACCAAGAAATTGGGACACTCAGTTTTTGTTGTTTGGGAATTTACAGAAATATTTGGACAACCAAAATACATTGTCTTGTTATTTTCTTATGGATATTTTCTTCTGTTATGTCTTTTTGGATAATTAGGTTAAAGAATGTACTTGCATTTTTTTTACTGGATATCACTATAAAACATTCGGATAATCAGGTGTAACAAGTTAGATAACTAGTAGAAAGATCCTGGATACCATTACAAACGGTTGGGTAATATACTAGGATGGCCGGTAAACAGCTGTTGGATATCAAACACTTTAGGATCAACAGTCAATCAATTATACAGGAGAACATAATGACAATTCATTTAACCCATCCCTGAATTTTTCTGTCATTGTAGTAAGATTTGCTGCTCAAATCAATATGATCTGGAATTTCTTTTTGTTCTTCTTCAGCAGTATTTGCATAGAACTGATGCATTGCTTCGAGGAATTTGTCCTTATTTTTGTTGGCTGGGTGCATAAGGATTTTTATCATGTATTTCCACCGGTACTCTTTGATGTTTCCTGTGTTGAAATTCAAAGTAGTACCATCCTCGTACTCACCACCATCATACCGCTCCATCTGGTGCATTGTGTATATTCCACAATCTTCCACAGTCGGCGTTTTGTCCTTATGTGATGGTAGCGTAACCTCTGTCAAGGTGTACTGAGCAGTGACCAGTTCTATGTGTGGAAACATGCATTCAACATAGCTTTGGAAGAATTGAAACTGTGATGCCATAAAATTCAAGGATCAGCAAAATGCAATGGATGATTCTTAAACTATGACAATCATTTTGTATCTTTTTTTCACTCACAAGTAGATCTTTTGTTGGATTGTAGTAGTCCAGATCTTTTGCATGAAGATTGTTGAATGCAAGCACTTTCTTTTCTTCAACTAGCAACACATACAAGAAGTAATGGTCTCGGTAATGTACTGGGAAGTAGATCTGATTTTTCACATTGAAGGGGGAAATCATATGAAAATTTTTTGACAGCCAGTTATAGAAAGAGTGAAGGAGGTGAAAGATGTTGCTTACAGCTTTTTGCCGCTATCAGGGATGCTACACTGAGGCCTTGTTCTTCTAGTTCAATAACCAACCTCTCATAGAATGTAAACTCTATTCTGTCTTTGTTACTGCCCGGTTGGTAGTATCGACTGATTGTATCCTGCATTATTGTTTGAGGTGGTTGGAAAATGATACAATGATCAGTACAATGGTTGGAAAATGCAGTAGAAAACAATGATCGGAATCAAGCACATACAAGGTCAACCAAAAGTATACAACAATAGGTGTTAGTGGTCATGCATGATCTTCCTGATGATCACTTATAGGTAGGTTAGTTATACAACAATGATGGATAACCAGAAATAATGTATGGACAAACAGCCGCATAGAAGCACAACTAAAAAAAGACATGGATAACTAGTTTACACATTGTGGATAACCAGCAATTATGGCCGGATAACTAGTTTACAGATTGTGGATAACCACCCATTATGGCTGGATAACTAGTTTACACATTCTGGATAACCATCCGTTATGGCTGGATAACTAGTAAAAAGCCTTTGGATAAACAACTTGCAGACATGTGACAAGTATTTTACCAGGGAGGGATAAACAATAAGGGTTTAGTTGACTTACAAATGAGGAAACACCAAAGAATATCCATCTTGGGGAGTCACTCTTAGCTTCTTCTTTGTTTAGGATGACAGCCCAAGCATCTATGATGCTGTTTTCTATCCATGCCCCTTCCCTCATGGAATAGAATGCTGTCCTGTCTGTCCAAATGATTTTTCCAAATTCAAACAAGAAATTCCTGCATAGAAAAAGTAGTCAAATAGACAAATAGTTGGAAAACTGGTAAGTTTTTTTATCCCACGGGTAAGGATGGTGACTTTTACCCTGATTTAACTATTTCTTCTTGTCTCTGCAAGAGAGCGAAGTCTATCAACATGGCTTCTTCTTGGGTCATTTTCTTCTTCTCCTTTGTCTACTGTATGAATTTTTTCTTGTTTTTCTTCTGCAGCATGAACGGCGACCTGAACCGTTCGGGCAACCGGTGGAATCTTGGTGGATTTCTCCTCTTAGGTTTTTGATTGAGGATCATAGGACAAAAAAAAAAGAGTTAGTATGTAAATTCGTCTTTCTATTTTGTAGTGAGGAGTCATAGTGGATCAAACTTACTTTTCCACTGTCTTTGTTAACCCTTCATTAAGTACATCAGCTTTCTTTGAGATTACAGGCGGTGGCGTGGTACACTCATTTTTATCCAGCATGAGTAGACCACCCGTGGTAGAAGCAATATTCCAATCGGGTGGAATTATGCTTAAAGGGACTGCTTCAACCACCTTTGGGTTTTTCTCAACTTGTTCTGCAACAGCCGCAATCATCTCTAGTTTTTTGGTACCACTTAATGATTCTGAAGCTGGTGCACTGGCCCTTCTTATGATTTCATTGATGGAAGGAGTGGGATTCTTTGTTTCGTCGAGTGCAGATGGTACTAGATATTCTTCTGCTTCTATAGTCTCATTGACATCTTTATCCAAATCAACACTTCCTGTGATATCTTCCTGAGTGTTCTTCTCCTAGGTTGTCTCGTAACTGTCTTCCTGACTGGAGAAGATACCCAGGTTAAAGTGTGGGATAGTTGGGTCTTTGAATACTTTCCTTTTCATGGTACCAGTACTTCTCGACCTTTTGGTATAGGTGGATGTCACACCTGAATCCCGGCTGGTGGAATCTTGATGGGATCTCTTCATTTCTGTTGTGGAGAGATTCGTTCCATGTGCTGCAGTTCAAAGTTGGAATATTGGATAATCAGTACGAACATACATATATATTAGACACATTGGATAACCAGTTCAAACGATGTGGATAATCAGTTCAAACAGGCCGGATAATCGACGGGAACACAACGGATAACCATTTAAAGGGAAAAAAGGGGTTGGATAAGCAGTACAAATTAGACAGATTAGATAACCAGTTCAAACGAAGTGGATAATCAGTTCAAATAGGCTGGATAATCGGCAGGAACACAATGGATAACCATTTAAAGGAAGAAAAAGGGGTTCGATAAGCAGTACAAATTAGACAGATTGGATAACCAGTTCAAACGAAGTGGATAATCAGTTCAAATAGGCTGGATAATCGGCAGGAACACAATGGATAACCATTTAAAGGGAAAAAAGGGTTGGATAAGCAGTACAAATTAGTTGGATGACAAGTACAATCACATCAGACAAGCATTTGTTTCATTAAAAAAATATTCATTACCTTGTGGTTGAGTTTGTTGTTCATCAACCACCACTTCTTTTGAAGTAGGCATGGATTTCCCCACTGGAAGAGAAGTCTCATCATTTTCTGGCTCAATTGATCCAGTCCCTGTGCCCCTTGTGGTTGAGTTTGTTGTTCATCAACCACCACTTCTTTTGAAGTAGGCACGGATTTCCCCACTGGAAGAGAAGCCTCATCATTTGTCTGGCTCAATTGCCCCAGTCCCTGTGCTTTGTCAATTTCAATGTCTTGAAAATTTGTGGGATTAATTAGAGCTTGTACAGTGTTATCATCAGTTTATTGGTGTTGTTGTTGTTGTTGTTGGTCAGCTACTTGTCGTCTCAGCTGTTCTATGATTGTTGCAAATCTACTTTCAGTGGACTTCCATGCCATCTCGCACAATTCACAAATCTGTGCATCCTGGAGGTCTTGCTGGTCTTGCTGCTGCTCTTGTTCCTGTTGCGTTCTACCTGAAGGCGGAGGCATCTTTCTACTCATCACACCATTGCATCTGTTAGGATCTTGATTGTTTGCTTTGCTTGTTCATCTGGTTCGATTTTTAACTCCATTTCCTTCTCACGAATGTCTAAAACAGTTTTGCTCATCGTGATAATCAATTGGTAGAATTTTTCATAAAGAACAGCAAGGTCCTACAAAAGTGAATGTAGTTAGTGGAATGTGGAGATGCTAGGTTGGATACGTAAGTTTGATCTGAAAAAAATAAGTAGAATAGTACATAGACTTGCTGTGTGTTGGGGTTTCTCTGTGTATCCTCCTGTGATTCAGCCTCTGGTTGTTCATCTGGGGATGCTGCTGAGGACGGTTTCTTGAGACGTTCAAGTGTCTGGACATCTGTGAAATTGCTTCCCTGAAGTCTTATTCTGTCGTCCAGCATCTTTTGATCCCAAGATTTGATCACAGGGAATGACCTCGGATGTGCTCTCTCATACTCACCTGTCAAGGTAGCACAACTAACAAAACAAAAAAAAGAAAAAAAGTTGGTGTTAATGATATCAGTACAAGCAAATTAGATAAACATTGCAAGCAATATGGATAACTAGTAAAATTTGTACAGATATGGTAAGTACCAGGAAAAAAGTAATTGGTCCGGTGAATGGTTTCCCATCGTGGTGACTTTTGCATCCTTTCACCAGTGCATCAATCACATATTGACATCAATTGTATTGTGTCACTTCATTGATGTTCACGAGGGACTTCAGGATGTTCATTGTGATCCTAGAAGTGGTGTTTCCATGTAGGAATGTGCTCACAGCGAAGACCAAGAAATCTCGTTTGAAGTCATCACCAAAATCTTTTCGACCAGCAATTAATTGTGCCGCGGTGGATCTCGTTGGCAGGAATTTATTACTGTATCGCATTCTTTCCTTGAATGCATCCACCATCTCAGCGTGGTCCATTATAGCGGGATCATTCTGTTTGAATTCTTCTACTGGTTTGGGACTACGAGGAAGATCAAGTACAGCAACAACATCTTCCTGTTTGATATCCAGTACATTGTTCCCCTTCAATGGGACTTGTCTTGCACCGGTCTGGAAATTGTTTGCCAGAAAACTACATAAGGCTGTTGAAATATTTTTGATTTTGAGATCCAGCAAGGCTCCAAATCACATATCTCTCATAGCGTGCCTTTGTAGTTGGCGATAATCTACTGCATCTGGCTCTTTCTTAAGATCTACTGGTTTATTGATTTCAGTGATGAGTTGGAAGAGATGGTTCGGTGTCATCCTTGTCTCAAATTTCTTGACAAAATCTTCAGAACTGATTGGCTGTGGATCTTGACCAATCATCAGTTTGTTGTTCTCAGGTTTCGTTCTTTTCATTTTGGACTTTTTATCATCGTTGTCATCAGCAACCACAAGTTGCTTTGGATTTCCTATCAGTGTGCTCTTCCTCCTCTTTGGTTTCCTCCACAAGTTGTGGGGCCTTGGAGTTTGAACAGGGGACTGTTCTTCTTGGGTTGATTTTTGTCTTTTAAATATGGTCAGTGTTTCTTCAGGGAGCTCCATTATTTTCTCTGGTTCAGGATCCGGTGATCTGCTTGGGTTGCAGTTGAGATCGTGGCTTGCGCTGATCCACTCGTGCCTATATCTTGTTCTAGCCTTCTTTAGGGCACTGTTGGCATTGCATAATCACTAAGAAGTCAATGGACAAAATAGCAGGATATGAAAATGAGTAGTAATCAAAAAAGGAGTAACCAGTATGAAATGGGTGGATAACTAGCAAATAATGTGTAGTACCAAAAGCCAGATAAAAGCACATCTAAAAAAAACAATGGATAACCAGTTTACTCACTGCGGATAACCAAGTTAAAATGGATGGATAACCAGAAACAAAGTTTGGACAAGCACCCCATAGCACACACGCAGGAAAACTTGGATAACCAGTTCAGATATATAGTGGATAACCAGTTAAGTTTGTCCATGCCACATAGAATCAAATATAAAAAAAGCATGGATAACCAGTTTACAACTTGTGGATAACCAGTATGAAATGGGTGGATAACCAGCAAATAATGTATGGACATGTAGCCACATAAAAGCACATCTAAAAAACAACAATGGATAACCAGTTTACACCATGCGGATAACAATTATAAAATGGATGGATAACCAGAAACAAAGTTTGGACAAGCACCCCTAAACCCTAAACCCTAAATCAGTAACAAAAAAACACAAAACATGGATAACCAGTTTAGTTTGTCCATGCCACATAGAATAAAATGTAAAAAAAGTATGGATAACCAGTTTACAACTTGTGGATAACCAGTTTAGAACTTGTGGATAACCAGTTTATAACTTGTGGATAACCAGAATGAAATAGGTGGATAACAAATGTACTATGTTGATAACCAGTATGAAAAGATGGATAAACAGAGATTATGGCATGGACAATGATCACATAGCATACGCAGGAAACCATGGATAACTAGTTCAGATCTAGTGGATACACACAAAATATTGCTGGATAATCAAAAAAATAGGATCCCGGAGTAATATAATTACCAGTGAAGCATGTATAGATGAAGGAGAGCTTGAGATGGCCAAACGTAGGGTTTCTCGCCGTCGTCTGTGTGTGTGTGTGTGTGGGTTTGTGAAAGAACAAACTGACAAAAGAAAAAAACGCAGGAGAAGATGAAGTTATCAAAATCGTCTTCCAGCGTAGGTTTTCCGTCGATTTTGTGTAATTTTGTGGTGGTGGTCAATTTTGTATTTGCCCTAAAATGGAGAGTTTCCGTCGACTGTGTGTTTGTGTGTGTTTATGCGTGAGGATGAAATGGATGAAAACAATTTTCTGTGTGCATTTAATGTAAAGGTAAAAACAGTTGGGCGCGTGGTGCGCGTGTGTTTGGTGGAAGGTATACGGTACACCCGGGTACACTGGATACGGACTCAATATTTGATTTACCCACCCCTTTAACTTTTGCCTCTTTTCTTTGGTTTTTTATAGGCACTTTTGGCCAACATTTTTTCAGACTGTACGTCGGTGGTTTGAACAAGCAAGCGACTTTAAGAGAAATTGCAGAGGTATGCTACTCTGGAATAAACTATTACAAACTCACAGTGTGTGTGGGCTTTAAAATGCCTATTTCAATGTCTTATTGTAGAAGAACTGGGATTTGTGTTCTCCTTTCCGAATAAGTTCCTTGGTGGAATTTGTGGTTCTCTTTTGCAGTGGGGATTGTCATAAGCATATCTGATTTTTGCGTTTGAATTTTGTATTGAACCAGCATCAAAGGTCATAAACTTTGTACGGCTCTGGAAATTTATGGCCATAAGATTGAGAATCACATCTATGGGACTCGATTACTTTCTATTGGCACGTTAAAATTTAAAATTGGCCGGGCTATTGGAATTCTGTTTTAACTATTATTTTTTTCCTTCTGATGAATTGCATTAAATCTCAGATTTCCTTACATTCTTTTTTATTGTGATGGTATGATCTAATGCCACATATTCTCTCCATTCGGTGTTTTGGAAGAGGTTTTCAATATTCGAAGTGAAACGAGGCAACATCGCGATATGTGTATCAGTCTTATCGGATCAATGTATTCCAACTTAGAGGAGTTACAATGTGGATTTTGAAAATTTCTCATGAAAGAATTTTCGTATCATCTAAGTTTTATGCCAACTCTATCTTATTACCCTGGAGTTTATTGTATTGGGTGTCGTATTTTTTTCCTTTTCTCGGCCTGTGTGTGTGTTGCCATTCTTCTTTTATTTGCTTGATTTTACCTTTGTCGCTTCTGATTTATCTATTCTTCATTATAATATTCTCTTCTCAACTACTCTGTGTTGCAGACCAACATCAAATTCCAGCGATCAGTTTCCTGTGGTTCCTAATGATTCTTATTTAGTGAGTTAAAATCCCTTCATAACCTTGGTCTGTTGCATATTTGAGATATCTACTTCTTTTCTCGGTTTGCATCTTGTCATTTGGTGCGAGGAGTCCGTGCTTGTGTAGCATTGGGGACCGAAAGGTAATATTTAGATTTTTTTTTTGTTTTTTTTTCTTTTTGGTAGATTCAGATTTCGTCACAATCTGTGACGCAGGGAACAACTTGTGGTTTTTTAATAAACGCAGATTTGCGTATTTTCATTCTTTGCTTTTTGTGTTCATAAACTATTAATATTTCGTGTTTGATATGTGATATACTTCGGTTTTGTTATGCAATTTGTGGTCCGATATTTGTGAAAAGAGACGACAACTATCTCTAACTATATTATTGAATTTATATATTAACGTTAACCAAAAAAAATTATATATTAATCAAACATGTATTTTACGGTGGGGAAGAAGTGTTTTCGGAGTTAGTCAAAGTAGCTAAGCATATATGCTAAATTTTTTGTGTACCTATAGACCCTCTTCAACGAAATTGATTCATCATTCATCACCCTAAATACATCTCACTGTGCTAAATTTTGCACGTATAGACCTTCAATTCATCCTTGTCAGACCTTTGAATTTGGAAAATTTATGGTAGATTAAACTGTTAGTTACATTTACGTGAAAGAATAAAATTAACTCATAACACTAATGTGTAATTCATTGATTAATAATTGCAATAATATTAAGATAAAGGCAAACATAATGCAGCGTAAAGTAGAAAATCTACTCACTGACAATATTTGTTATACTAATCTATATAGTTTAGAGTGAAAATCGTGACTCTTGTATAATTTCGCTGTCGACAATGAAAACAACAAAGATATCTAATAAAACAATAAAAAATTCCAAAATTCCAAAATACAAATTTTTGTGCGACTCAAACAGAATAGAATATACAAGCCGATGACTTTACTTGATATCTACATTAATCTACTTGTCACGTTGTAAACCTAGGGAGCATGATATGTTCCTGCTGATTGCATATACCTTAATAAGGACGATGTAAGAGTTCAATCACAAACCCTCTCCTTATCGGAAATCTAGCTGTTTGTGCCGAAAAAATCACCCTAAACCATGCAAAAGAAGGGGGCAAAATTTTTTAAAACACAAAATCAAGCGATTATGGATGAGTTCAAAAAACCAGCCTCGAACCTAGAATCGAGGATTTAGGGTTAACTTTGGTTTAATAAATAATAAGAAAAATATATAGAGAAAAAATGAGACAAGCCAAAGTGATGGTCTTGAATTGATTAAATTGGGGAGAAAAAGAAATAGGCAACGCCGACTAGTTAGGGAAAATGTCGATATTGCGCTATTACAAGGAGAATCGAATTTACTGAAGTAGAAAACGATAAATGACTACCTATTTCTATAAAAAAAAAAGGCCAAAATCTATTTAATCTAGGCTAAATTAGGAAAACATGATTAAAATACATAATTGAAAAGACGAAAAAAAAGAAAAATGAATGATATTGATTGATGATGTTG